AATATAAGAAATATAAATTATATATGGTATTATGAAGTAATTGAAAAACTTTCATTTAAGAATTATGGCCTTCGATTTAATAAATGTGATTAGGAATTAAGGTTGAAAGCGAAATAAATTATAATTCAGATATATTTAAGTTCTAGATAACACAAAGGAGAGAAAAGAAGTCATTTTATTACAAATATAATTTATAATTATAAATTAAAAACTAAATTTTTACAAAACTATTAATAATAATATTTAATACTAATCCTGCTTATAAACACTAATAAATTAAGTAAATCTATAATATAATCTCCTAGATGATTTAAAAATAATGTTGTGCTAAATTAGTTTTCTTTAAGTAATTATATAACATTTTACTTTAATCTTTTCATTGTGCTTACTGTTCTCTGTTTAGATTATTAATTTAATTTATCATAAATTAAATCTCTATAGATATTAACTTATAATAGTATTTTATGAATTGTCAATAAATATTCCCTAAACTAGACTGACCCTAGTTTGTTATGAGTTTAAAATAAAAATGAGGTGTATATATAACTGGAATTGAATAACACTTTTTTTTTAAATATGTACATACCTAACTTAAAAAGTGTAAAATGAAAAATAAAACTTAAAAAGAGAGAATGAAAAAAAAATTATAAATTAATTGTAATTATAATTGTAATATTGTTAATAAATAATAATTTTCACTTTTACTTTAAGTCTTCTAAAAAGCAACATCCTTTTGATTTGAATAATGATCTTAAATTTTAACCCTGATAATTTACAAAATCTCCTTTTAAGATTATGGCTCCTTTTGCTTAGAATAATGGTGTTTGAGATATTTGTAGTATTGTAATATTATTAGATGCTTGCAAATACTAAGAAAGGTTTTTAAATAGTGATAATTTAAATTAAAGAAGAATATCTTAGTAATTTGTATCAGAGAATTTAATTTCTTATCCTGACTTTAAATCCCATAGACGGATAGAACTATTATTATTATTTGTAGCTAATGTATTACCATCAGGGGATAAACAGATTGAGATGACATCATTGGTATAACCATCTAATTTGGCTTATTATTATCCTGTTTTGACATCCCATATACAGATAGAATTATCACTACTACCTGAAGCTAATGTATTTCCATCAGGGGAGAAACGGATTGACATGACATCATTATTATGACCATCCA